ATGGTAAATTCTGAAGTGCACAGAAGCACCAGAAAAAAATCCCAGGTCTGGCAGTCAAGGGTTGTATCTGGACAAAAGCCAGCTCACTACAGGAGCCCTAGTAACACAATGAGGTAAGTGTTGTGCTGCCAACCATAAGGTCAGCAGTTCAAACCCACTGGCCTGCTCACATAAAGACCGACAGCCTCGGAAACCCTATGGGGCAGTTCTACTCTGTCCTATAGGGTCGCTCTGAGTAGAAATCGACTCGATGGTAGTGGGTTAGGTTTCATATCTCTTTCAGGGCCTGCCTTTCCACCCAGAGCCTTTGTTTGTGGGGGAATCCAAGTCTGGATTCCAGGCTATTGGAGTTGTCAAAAGGCAAAATAATTTCAGGTTACCCCCCAAAGAAAATTGTCAAACAAAAGCCACTGGGTAGAATCAGGATTGGGAAGGATGGGAGGACGCAGCCTGGGGCCAAGGGTATTACCAGTGTCTGTCCTTGGCTTGGCCATGATTCCTTGGATGGCCTGTTCATCCTCTCAGCACCTGACAACTGAGGGGCGAGGCCATATGCTTTCAGAAGACTCTTGTGTAGTCCTGGAAGTGGGCTAAGGGGGAGTGGGAAGCGGGGAAAGTGAGGGAATGGCATGGTGAATGCACTCAGCTATGAACAGAAAGGATGGAGATTCGAGTTTAACCAGAGGCACCTCGGAAGAAAGGTCTAGTGATCTGCTTCTGAAAAATCAGTCTTTGAAAATCCTATGAAGCAGCTGTACTCTAACACACAGGATGGGGTCACCATAAGTCAAGATGGACTTGACAGAAACTGGTAAAGGCCTCAGGTGGCACAAACTGGCGGCACTTGAACACTAACCTAAAGAAGGAGCACTAGTCACACTGTGGGTTAAGTGCTGGACTGCATTCTGCAAGGCCAGCGGTTTGAACCCACTAGCTGATGCAAGGGAGAAAGATAAGGCAGCCTATTTCTGTAAAGATTGATAGCCTTGGAAACCCTTTGGGGGCAGTGCTACTCTGTTCTAGAGGGTTGCTAGGAATTGGAATCAACTCATTACCAGTGGGTTTGATTGGGTTTTTTGGTTACTAATCTAAAGGAGCTCTGGTAGCATAGTGGTTACGAATCGGGCTGTGAACATCAAGGTCAGCTGTTCCAAGGGAAAAAGATGAGGCTTTCTGCTCCATAAAGATTTACAGCCTCGGAAACCCTGCACAGGGTCGCTATGAGTCAGAGCCGACTCCATGGCACATAACAACAACAACAACAATGGCTCTGTATGATAAACACTGGACTGCTAACCACAAGTTCCAAGGTTCAAGCCTACCTGTTGTTCGTTGGAAACCCTACACAGGGTTGCTATGAGTTGGAACCCACTTGACGGCACTTAACAACAACCACCACCTAACTGGTGGTGGTTCTGTACCCACCCAGCGGTACCACAGACAAAAGGACTGGTAATCTGCTCCCATTAAGATCACAGCCCAGGAAATGCTATGGAGCAGCTCTACTCAGTAAGACATAGGACATTGTGAGCTGAAATCAACTCGACAGCAAAGGGCTTATTACTAAATTTTTGGAAACTGTGCTAACTGCAGGCAGGGAAACAGTAACCCAGGAGGCCCGAGGTCTGACACAGGTCTGCTCCATCCCACCTGCAGCCTCCTCCACTCTGGGCAGACTCAGGCCCCCAGCTCCCAGGATACTCACTGGCAGGCTAGAAAGGGCCAGGAACACATTCTGTCCCATCCACTCCACATGACAAGGAGTGGTCAGCTGCCCAGACCCTCCTGGTACACATGCAGTCAACTGTTGACAAAGATGAGGGGGCCTCCCTGTGCATGGGGAGCCACCACACCTGGACCCACAGGGGCTCTGCAGTGGATCTCTGAGGGGACCAGAGTAACACATATGCATTCATGCCCGAACTGATGGTGCACACCGGAGACATCTGGGAAGGCTCTGACCTGGATTCTGTGCATCTTGTTCTGTCAGCCTGTTCCGCCCACCCGCCAGCCCCAAGCCCATCCTTGGGTGCAGGGGTGCGTGGGAGCCATGGAGCATCTGTCAGACAGCCGCATGCACTTACCTCTGAGATTTCTGCAAACTGTGCGTTGGCCTGGCAGCACTTCTCTGCTGTCTCCATGGCAATGCCATAGTTGTCCACAAAGGCCCGATAGACACCCAGCTGGCTGGCCTGCAGGGAGGGAGGGAGAGAGCATTGGAACAGGTGTGGGCAGATGCTGATGTCTGTCACCTTTCTGGAGCTGCAGCTCAGGTGCACAGCTCTGCAGAGATTCTCGCCTCCCAGGTACTGCAGATACAGCTCCTCCACCACTCCCTCCCACTGCTTCCTCTCCCCTCACTCAGCAGGCCTCTCTCTCCCAAATGACAGGTTTTGGAGTGACTCACGCCTGGTCAGGTAAGGATTCCTTCCCACCGGCAGCTTGAAGGGTGCCAGTAGCAGAGCTCAAGTTCAACACTGTCAGTCTGTGCACAGGTGGGACTGGGAGACCCAGGTTCAAATCCCAGTCAGTTCACCTCATGTCTCCACAGCCCTTGTCTGTCTGTGGAGACTTGTGAGTTGCTGCGATGCTGAACAGGTGTCAGCTGAGTTTCCAGACTTAGAAGAACTAAGAAGAAAGCCCTAATCTTAGAGCAGCAAACCCAGGCCAGGGGAGACCCCTGGCGAACTGCTGGCCGGAACTGGGGTCTCTCAGCACAGTCGGGGGAGCTGGCAGCAGAAGGCTGGCTCTCAAAGACCCTGGTATTTGTTGTCTACTGAACCCAAATTTGATTTACACACACATTTGCATCTGTGCTTCTGCAGATGACAATCACAGATGGTAAAAACAGATCCCTTGGCACTGGCTTGCCTTCCGCTCAGAACCACCCCTCGGGGGCGTCTGGAGTGCTCTGGGGGTGCAAGGAGAGTGTGCAGTCACAGGAAGTCCTTCCCACACCCACACTTGCCATCCTGGGTAGGACGCAGCCTCCCCAATGCCAGGTCTTCCTCAGCGTTTTGTTAGACCTGGAGCTCGTCTTCCTTACCTTTTCATCCCCTTCTGACCACTGAGTGCCTCCCCCACTATGAAGGCCCTGCTTCAGGCAATGCCACCCTGAAGCCACCAGCTACCATGGAGTCTCTTCCGAGACAAGAAGGTCACTGAGCAGAACTGTGCTCCACAGGTTCTCAGTGGCCAATTCCTCGGGAATAGATGACCAGGCAACTCTGAGTTGACTCAAGCCACTAACCCTTTGGTAAGCTGCCAAGTGTGTTCACCATTTGCACCTCTCCATAAATAACAAGGAGCTCTGGTAGCGTAGTGGTTACGAATCAGGTTGTGAACCTTAAGGTCAGCAGTTTGAAACTACCAGTCATTCCGTGGGAGAAAGATGAGGCTTTCTGCTCCCGTAAAGATTTATAGCCTCGGAAACCCTGTATAGGGTCGCTATGAGTCAGAACCGACTCCACGGCACATAACAACAACAACAACAAAATAAATAACAAAGATCAAGCTCACTGCCACTGAGTCGATTCCAACTCACAGTGACCCTATATAGGGTTTCTGAGACTATAAATTTTTACAGGAATAGACTGCCTCATCTTTCTCTCTCAGAGTAGCTGGTGAGTTTGAACCACTGACCTTGCATTTTAGCAGTCCAGTGCCTAAACCCACAGGACCCTTATAGATACAAAGGTACCAAAATTAGTCAGGAAATGCCAAGGGTTTAGCACTACCTCTCAGGAGTCAGAGACAAAGATGATGTTCTTTGGGTAAAGTTAAATTTGTGGCGTATGTGGCAAAACGCTACAACCAGCGTATTTGGGTGAAGGACTCCTCTGGAGACTCTTCTGAATGTTTGTAATGATTAGGAAAGAAAGGAGAGTGTTAATGAAATGTCAGAGATAAACCCCTGGGAAATGAAGGTTGGTTTGCACAAGCCTGAGGAAGGGTGAAGGCAGGTGTTATAGGCCATCACCAAAAAACCCCAAACCCTACTGCAGCAATTCCAAGTCACCGTAACCCTACAGGGCAGAGTGGAACTGCCCCCACAGAATTTCCGGGACTGCACATCTTCACTGCAGCAGACAGCCTCATCTTTCCCCTGAAAAGTGGCTGGTGGATTCGATCTGCTGACCTTTCAGTTACCACCCCAACACATAGCCCATTACACCACCAGGGTCATCACACACAGCTCAAAAAACAAAAACCCAAATGTACTGTCTTCAAGTTGATTCCAATTCACGGTGACTATAGGGCAGAGCAGAACTGCCCCACAGGATTTCCAAGGCTGTCAAACTTTACAGGAATAGTCTTTCTCACTATCTTTCTCACTCAGAGCTGCTGGAGGGTTCAAACCACCAACCTTGAGGTTAGTAACCCAACCTTAACCCAATTTGCCTCTAGGGTTGCCATACGTGGCTCAGATAGACCAGAATCCCAGGAGGCAGGGGACAGAGGTGCCTCCTAGAATTGGGCAGATGCAGTGGAGTGTACCCATAGTCTTTGTAAATCCTAGCAAACGACGCCTTTGCCCTGCTCGGTCTGTGTAAGAGAAGATGCTGATAGGATGATGTGATTCAGTTGTGATTATAAAAACATGGAAGTCTAACATGGGTTTAAAATGAGCTGTCTCAGAAGCAGGAAAGGGGATTAAAGAAGAGCTAGGCATGGAGTGCTTCCTTTGCACCCCGAGATCCCTGTGCACTGAACTTCTTTGACTCAGGGACAAAAGCTGTGATACCGGCGGTGAGGCAGAGGAGCAGCTGAAGCTAAGCCAGGAGCCACAGTATGAGACAGAGCGGTGGACTCACCAGCCCATGGAGCAAGTAAAGTTGTGTGAGTTTGAGCAGGAAGCTTACTTGCAGAGTGTGGTGCCTCCAGGTACTCAACTGAGGGAGCCAGGCTAGCTGAACCATTGAGCTACAGCCAGGTGTCCTCAAGCTGAGACATATGGTGGAGTGATGTGTCCATTTATGACCATGTAAGTGCTGTGGGCATTTATCAGCAGCCCTGAAGAAGCAGCTTTGTAAAATTGGCTGAGGAGAAGCTGTCCTGATTGGAACAACTGTGCCCTGAGCATTTCTGACCCTGAATTGCAATCTCTTAACTTCTCAAATAAATCCCGTAACTGTGAGTTGTTGTTGTTGTTGTTAAGTACCGTCGAGTCGGTTCCGACCCATAGCGACCCTGTACAGGGTTTCCGAGGATGTAAATCCTTACGGGAGTAGAAAGCCTCATCTTTCTCCCACGGAGCGGCTGGTAGTTTCGAACTGCTGACCTTAAGGTTCGCAGCCCGATTAGTAACCACTACGCTACCAGAGCTCCTTAAGGTGCCTGAATTCTGAGTGGCACTGTGCTGAATTATCAAACCTGGCTGAGTAGAATGCTATAGGAGGGGTGGTTTGGAAGTAGTTTTTAAAAAATTTATTTTATAGCAGGGCATCATAGGTCTCCGGGTCCTAAGACCACTGGGCTAGTTCTGCCATGCTTTGTCTGTCTGTCCCTAGGAATTCCCAGCCCACATTCAGTCTTCCCACTGAAGCCCACCTACTCATCTGACATTGGCTTGTGAATGCCAGGCAAACCAGAGGAAACTTTCTGAGCCTCACTTCCAGTGTGCACCCAACTCTCACAATAATAAAAGTTTCTGAGGACTTCTGGAATGCTGTTTGGAAACAAGAATGCTGTCTATGCTTTCTCAAGAGGGTGGCAGGCTGATGCAGGTACAGGGATGCGGGGGTAAGCCTGCCAGCCCATCACTTGGGGGAAATGGTGGCATTTGCATCACTAGACAGCCTACTCCAAAGCTCAGAGAAGAAACAAATCTACATGAGCCATGACCTCATTTACCCTGAGACCAGAAGAAATAGATGGTGCCCTGCTACCACCACTGACCCAGATCCCAAAAGTTTCAGATAGAATGGGAGAACAATGTGGAGCAGAACTCAAATTCTTAAACGACAATCAAAAAAAGGCAAAACAAATTGGAGCAGTAAAGCACAGAGGTGCTGCGAGACTACTGCCCTGAGACTCGTTAACAAAGAACTGAGTAGACGGTTTCATCTTTCTCCCAACAGCGAGGCTAGCAGGTTCAAACCACTGACCTTTGGGTGTCAGTCAGGAGCTTTAATCACTGTGTCACCAGGACTCCAAAGTACGCTATTAAGTCAGTTCTGTCTCATAGTGATCCTATAGAGGGTTTCCAAGACTGTAAATCCTCATGGGAGCAGAAACCTTCATCTTTCTCCATCAGACAGCTTATAGGTTTGAACTGCTGTTCCACCACTCGTTTGTCAGTTTGTTGTACTGTGGTGGCTCGTGTGTTGCTATGATTCTAGCAGCTATACCACTGGTATTTTAAATCCCAGCAGAGTCACCCATGGTAGACAGGTTTCAGTGAGCTTCCAGACGAAGACAGACAGGAGGAAGGAGAGGTAGACCACTTCTGAATGGTAAGCCACTGAAAACTTATGAAAAGCAGTGGAGCACTGTCAGACATAGTATAGGAAGTTGAGCCATTCGGTAGGAAGGCACTCAAAATTGACTGAGGAAGAGCTAGCTGCAGCCGCAAAGTAAAGTTGACCATGATGATGCAAATGGAGAAAAGCTTTCAGGATCTTCATTTGCTTGTGGAGCACACAACTCAGAATGGTGAGAAACAGCTGCAAACATCCAATCACCAGTAATTATTATTAATAATTGGAACATGGAATCTATGAAGTATGAATCTAGGAAAACTGGAAGTTGTCAAAAATGAAATGGGTTTTTTTTTTTTTTTTTAACCAGCTAGAACCATGGAGGGTGTCGAAGAGAAGAAAAAGAAGGTTCCTGTTGTGCCAGAGACCCTTAAGAAAAACCAAACAAATTTCATAGAACTAAAGATCATGTGCCTGAGAAAGAAGTTTGCCCAAAAGATGCTTCAAAAGCAAGGAGGAAGTTTATCTATGAAAAAGCCAGGCACTGTCACAAGGAATATTGGCAAATGTACAGAACTGAGATTCAAATGGCTAGGATGGCAAGAATAATGCAACTTCTATGGACTTGGAGAGCCCAACCTGGAATTTGTTATCAGGATCAGAGGTATCAATAGTATGAGCCCAAAAGTTCGAAAGGTGTTGTAGCATCGTCACCTTAGCCAGATCTTCAATGGCATCTTTGTTAAGCTCAACAAGCCTTCAATTAAAATGCT